TCATATAGTCATAACAGAATAAATTATTTTTATAAAATGTTATTACTATAATGTTCTGCTTATAACCTGCAATTTAACTGTATTTTAAAATCTATTTTAAAAAGTGTATAGTGTATGTTATATGTTCTATATGCAGATTATACGCAGGAAATTGCAGTAATTAAAAAATAATCTAAATACTGTACACATTTAAATAATAGAATTGTGTATATGATATAATTTTTAAAATATAAATTAATGTAAAGAAGATAATTTATTTTGTAGAAATTTGAATATTTTATTTAAGATCTATTTAGAATAAAAAGGTTACTTTTAAATTATACATTACATGTAAAGATATGTTAAGAAGACCGAAATGACAAAAAAGAAACTTCGAGACCTTCAACGTTGACATTTCGAAAATTCAATCTTACTTTTTCCTAATTGAGGATGTTAATATATCTGATTAAATATCAGAATGCTAAAACTGTATTAATGTAATTAATTCAAAAATCATTAAAGTCAATCAATCAAAAAGATGATTAAGTTTTCGAAAAATGATAATTATCAAGTCAATGACTTCATCTATATTTAGTGATACTTTTCTAGTTATTTTTCTTAGTGACTTTTATCGATTTAGATTTAGAATATACATATATTTTTTTTATTCTCCTAAATTTTATTAAAATCGAAGAATCAGAGTAAAATGTTTCAAACATGCTTGAATAGTTTCAAGAACAAAAAGTTCTTGAAACTATTCAAGAGTTCTTGTATATTCTTGAAATAGAAACAAAATTTAATTTAAACGTCAGTAGTATTAAAATTTGAGATTGAATTTCGTTCATAGTCTTCGAACTTAGAAAATATCATAAAATATTAATATAAAAATTGTAGTTCTATAAATCGCAAGAACTATTCATACAAAATGTTTAATTTGAAAATTACTAATAGCACTTATAAATAAGAATAGTGTAATTTCACAAATTTATATATTTTATACTTTTATTAATAGAAATCTATACAACAAGTGACTAATAATTCATAATTATATAAAACAGATTTGTATTATATTTTTGGATTCTTCGTAGCAATTAGTGAAAAACGGAATAGTTTAATCATAATCGATCGAACAGATTTTGAGAACGAGCACAATTCTGTTCTGTAAACCACATAGTAAAGGATTCGCTAACGCTTCACCTCAATTAAATCCCGTATAAACAATTACTTGGTTACATTTAATGTATCAGTGAATGGTACTATAACTTAGCAATATTTACTGTGCTTGATTGTTGCAGGCAAGGTAGATGCACGCTGTTCCTGCATCGGTAAATACCTATAATGTATTATTATTTTTNTTCGAATGAATAAGTGGGAAAAACCCAGAAGAGATCCCCGTATAAATCAAAGGGGGTGCTGACGATGAGCGCTTTTTTTCCTTTTCGTCCTGAGTCGTAAACTTATCGGTGTGTGTGAATTTTGCCATCGCAGCTTCTGGATCCTTAACCGAAAGAAACGCCTAACCCAACCTGACTTGGATTAATCCTTAACCATCACCTGGACTATGACTTCCAGCACCTGAACTTTGATCCTGTGGACTCCTGAACTCCACTTCGCCAAAGATCCTTCATCGAAGATCGGAATTTAAACGTCAGTAGTATTAAAATTTGAGATTGAATTTCGTTCATAGTCTTCGAACTTAGAAAATATCATAAAATATTAATATAAAAATTGTAGTTCTATAAATCGCAAGAACTATTCATACAAAATGTTTAATTTGAAAATTACTAATAGCACTTATAAATAAGAATAGTGTAATTTCACAAATTTATATATTTTATACTTTTATTAATAGAAATCTATACAACAAGTGACTAATAATTCATAATTATATAAAACAGATTTGTATTATATTTTTGGATTCTTCGTAGCAATTAGTGAAAAACGGAATAGTTTAATCATAATCGATCGAACAGATTTTGAGAACGAGCACAATTCTGTTCTGTAAACCACATAGTAAAGGATTCGCTAACGCTTCACCTCAATTAAATCCCGTATAAACAATTACTTGGTTACATTTAATGTATCAGTGAATGGTACTATAACTTAGCAATATTTACTGTGCTTGATTGTTGCAGGCAAGGTAGATGCACGCTGTTCCTGCATCGGTAAATACCTATAATGTATTATTATTTTTTTTTTGCCGTATATTAAAACTTTTCGCGAGCATAAATCAAAACGGAGCTATAAAACAATAAGGTAGTTATAGAGAAAAGCTGTATAAAAAGCGGTCTTATAAAGAGGACTGAGTGTATATTTTTATAAGTTTTCTATTATCTAGTGTAATATTCGTACATAGGTATTGTAAATGTAACCCACAACTTCAAACAGGTAACTGAAAATTTAGGGTACATTCGTAAATGATTGTTTGCATAGTCAGCCAGTCATAAAGTACCAGTAAAGTAAAAATGATATTTAGTGTAGAACAGTGATAAGTACAGCACAGTATTTTGACTATATATATAATATAAATGTGGCTATCGTGTGTTTATGGCATGTAGTGTATGCCTTTTATCGTGACAAGGTTTGGCCATTCCTGCTCTACATGTTCGATGTCCATTATCAATTTTTTTTGTTTACATAAAAATTTGAGAGAAATAGATTAAAAAAATATATCATGATTATATCTCAACAAATTTTTACAAGTAAAACACTGCAAATTGTAATAAAGCACACGAATAATAACAAAATTAATTCAAATTTTAGAATTTTATTCGTTCAGATATGTGGGAAACCGGACCTAACGAATTTTTGAGAGAAAATTCGTTTTTCGTCTTTCGAAAATTTTTCCCATTTTTATTATCGGAGAACGATCACATCTCTCTCCGGAATCGTTTTCTTTCCCGGGAAACTCATCAGATGTGTCACTGGAAACTACTATCAAAAATTCTTAATTGGTAGAAAAAATAACGTGATTTAGAGGTATAAAAAAGAGTGACTCAAGAATAAAGAGTCGTCGAGAGTTCGCGAAGTGCCCTGAAAAAAGAGAGAGGTGTATCGTCGTCGTCCAGACTACCCGGAATTTCCTATCCTGTGTTTCTTTAAGAACACCGTCGAACTGCCCGGATTAGATCCTCCAGTTTTCCATCGCTTCCTCGACCGCAATGCAAGGGAAAGAACCCCTCAACCGCTCTTGGATTCCGTCCCGACCGAACGAACGACCGAGTCAGCGATCCGAAAATCCTCACAATTATCAGCGTATCACAGGTATCTATACCAACTCGCGGTTTTTTGTAAACTCTCTCTGTCGACCGCTGTTCGATAGCCTAGAGCTATGTATTTTTTTTTTTGTTGTTGAATTAAATCGGTTATTTTAGTTGTTAATCTTGTATCCGAGTGAGTCACTTCCGATTTGTCTCTCAACCTTCCTCCATCCCTAATCCGATCGCCGCGTACGTGACCGCTCGCGCATATTCTAAAGTTGCGGTTTCTGTGTCTATCCTAAAGACACAGTAGTGTTAGTCCTGACGAGGCACTAAAGAGGTGCCGACCCTCTGGTCACACATACAAAATATTAATGTATTCTATGTAAGATATATTATGCGCCCTTTTGTTTGTAATTGGAATTTGGAATTTTTATTCACGATATTGCTTAATTCTTGTTATTTTATTTTCATCTTTTATAGAATACTTTTGATTTTGAAATATTGGATATGAGAACACGTATAAAAATGTTATGAAATAATATTGCGCCAAATGTTGCGCTCTTCATTTTGTGAGAGCCGAAATCGGAAGAAACTTTATTATTAAAGAAAAAACTTTAACCTAATATAATATTTTGCTGAAATTAGAAGAAACTTTAAATTAATATAATATTTTGTTGTTCAAATCCAGATAATTTTTCAAAAAAAATTACTGATTAAAGCAGAGATGAAACTGTTTCCCACGGATTTAGTTCCTTATTGGAAGTGACACATCAACCGTGTCACTTTAACTTAACAGGTGAAAATCGTTGATTAAACCCAACGTACTAAAGCTTCGAATGAATAAGTGGGAAAAACCCAGAAGAGATCCCCGTATAAATCAAACGGGGTGCTGACGATGAGCGCTTTTTTTCCTTTTCGTCCTGAGTCGTAAACTTATCGGTGTGTGTGAATTTTGCCATCGCAGCTTCTGGATCCTTAACCGAAAGAAACGCCTAACCCAACCTGACTTGGATTAATCCTTAACCATCACCTGGACTATGACTTCCAGCACCTGAACTTTGATCCTGTGGACTCCTGAACTCCACTTCGCCAAAGATCCTTCATCGAAGATCGGCTTCGACCACAGGTATTTGTCGCCACGCGAACCTCTTTCTCTCGAGTTAAGCTTCAACCTACTCACTCTTTATAAATCCTAAGATAAATAACTTTGTACAGTACATAGCTTTATAATTAAACGGGTATTTGTTAAATGAATAATCTTGTGGAGTGCATTTCTTCCGGAGTTCTCCTTCTGTCTCCAATCCGAACCTAACCTATTATGTACGTGACCGCTCCGCGAGAACGAAACGGTTTCTATGTCTGTCCGTAAAGATACAGTGGTGTCATCCTGACGTGGTGTCAAAGAGGTACCGACCCAGCGGTCACAATTTTTAAGACTTATTAACATTATGCTAAAGACTTAAATATATTGCTATAAATGATGAAAATACTTTTAATGTGTACAACCCGAAAATATTTAACGATAACAGCTTTTTCACAAAATTTAAACCAAGCAAACTTTTTGATTAAATTAATAATACTCGTATTTAATCACAAAGTTCTCTTTTACAGCTAAAATAAGCTATTTTATGTATAAAAAATATCTTATAATTACGTTTGAATTATTTTAATGTCATTATATTCAAACAAATCTTTCATATTTATTTATATTACTGTACTATATATTAAAACATAATACAAATTGATACGAGTATATAGCAATACATATTTAAATAATAGAATTGTGTATATGATATAATTCGAAAAAATTATATAAAATCATATAAAACTTTTAAATATAATTACAAGTTGTAAATTTATAATAATTTTAAAATTAATTACAAAAAAAAAAAAAAAAATAAGTATTATTAGTGTGTTTAACTTGGTCCAATGTATGAAAAAGCAGCCCACTGACTAGGATTCACTTTCATCTCTTTCAAACAGAATAACATGGCAGATCTCAATGACATTGCTACATCTCCATTTTCCTAAAATTAATAATAATAATAATTAATTCTTATGAGTAATTTCAATAAATTATTAAGATATCATTTAATAAAAACGATTATTCAGTTAAAACATGGACTTATAATAAAGTGTGAAAAATTATTAAATTGACAGATTAGCTTTATTTATTTATGACTTGTTTAACCGCTTGATCCCCGATCAATTTTTAATTAATTATAATTAAACAGATCCTATTCCAAATGTAGATACAGTACATTAAGCAGGGCTTCAGAGATGTGGAATGGGTTAGGAAGAGTCACAAATATGGGACCCACATCCCTCGAAATTAATAAAAAAATAAAAACATTTCTCGATTTTTCTCGTAGGGAATAAACGGCTGGAATCCCGGGAAAGAAACCCTAGTGGCAAGAATTCCACAAAACTTGCTACAAATAATATTGGCTACATTTTAGTTCATAAAGATTTTAAGGTTTACTAAAACAATTTTTCTTGTCAGAGTAAATTTTACTTCAAAAAACAAGAAAAGAAAAGAAAAGATCAAAGTAATTTTTTCATCAAAGTCTTGATGATAAAAGAATTCTTATTGTACTTAAATCAGTGAGAAATAAAAAATAAAATAAGTGTAATTACAAATGTTTTTCCTTTTGGTTTAATTTAATTTAAATAATATTGTTTAAATATATATCATTTAATTTTTAAATAAACATTTAAAATAAAATTGATTAATTTTACATTTTTTTGCGATTCATTTGCAAAAATTTTCTATTTTAAAACACACTCGGAAAAATTTATCTGAAAATAAATTGATTAAAACATAATTTTAATTTTCTCTTTCAGAATGTATTATAATAAATCATTTTGGATTACAATATTGACAAAACAAGAAAAATTCATTTTCTTTTAAACCTTGTTAAATGTCACTTAAAATAATAGTCAGTAAAATATATTGCTTGGGTAAGAAAACATCAAATAACTTATAAAATTAATCATTGGAATTTTCTTTAACGACTGAAAAAACAAAGGAAACATTAAGGCTGGTATACACGGTAAGGAAATCCTCAAAGGATGTGCTTAACAGACGAAAAAAACTCGGATATAACTGGCTGGATCGAACATAGTAATTTACAAAACTTATTAAAATATCTCCCAACGTATAAAGAATTATTTTTATTTAAAAATGGATAGATAGAAAAAAAATCACGGATAATCCTCAAAGGATTTCCTTACCGTGTATACCAGTTTATACGTACATTCTGTGTTTATACTGTAAGAAGCTGGCAGCAGAAATACAACTTAATTAGCTCGAAAATTGCTGGTCTCCAGTTACAGGTTTACCCGTTCATATTTCATCAACGTCAGTTTGTAGTATGTCATCATTTGAAAAGAACACTGTCGTACACTACTTGCGTCGAACACAAACAAAACTTTTATCAACACCTTTTAGGGCGGTATAAAGTTTCTTAGTTTGACTCTGTCGCGACTTTATAACGTAAAATGCATCAGGTAATTGCCTACATCACTGAACCGCAACTATGGTTCCCCGCGTACAATATTTCATAAATTGAGAAGAGTGACTGTAAAAGTGCAACTGTTTTCATTAGCCTCAAATGAAAGAGGTTTTTCTGGTAATAAACTCGTGAGTCTTCGATTTCTGTTTGTATCCTTGTCTATTTTGGACCTTATTTATTAATAAGATTTATTACACTGGTATAGTTTCCGTTTAGCAAATAGAGGAGATCTTAGTCAAAAAGCCAAAACAAAATATTTTTATCTTCACCTGTACACACTGCTTTTGTGTTTCGGATCTGAAAAGTACATAAAAAGTATTTGTAGGTGAAAATAAAGATATTTTGTTTTGACTTTTTGACTAAGATCTCCTGTATTTGCTAAACGGAATCTACACCAGTCTAATAAGTCCTATTAATAAAAGTAAGGTCCAAAATAGATAAAGATACAAACAAAAATTAATAAGAATAAAGATCTAGAGGCAAAGAGAATTAATCGTGAGTCTTTAGTTTTGATTTTATGTCTATTTACCTTATGTGAACATAGATACGTAAATATACATTTTTTTTTATTTTATTCTATTGCAACTTAGTAGTTAAAAGAGTAAAAATGGAAATACAGTAGAGCGTCGTTTATCCGAATCAATTGGGGACTGGGGTTGTTCGGATAACTTATTTTTCGGATAACCAATTATGTACGAAAAAATATATTAATTTATCCCGTGTTGAAATTTTTCTCCGTTGCGTGTTGCTTCGCGTTGAATTTTCATCGATCTTAAGCCTAACGAAGACTATTGTATCGTTAAAAATTATTTTTTTATTTTGTACAAACAAAATAAATATATTGAAAAAATAAAAACAATAAAAAAATTATACTTCCGAAGTTAATTTAGTATCAAAAATGTAAAATATTTGAGTAGCCGAAGACGTAGCCAAAGATTACAGCGCCACAGCACTGGCGAAAATTTAAATTTGTCGACTGGAATTCCTTCGGATAACCGACGTTTCGGATAACAGATCTTCGGATAAACGACGCTCTACTGTACTCGAAATATAAGATACTATTCATAGGATAGAGATGTATGAAACGGCGATGGATGTACTGTACCTTATTATTTGAGTGATTTTCAAAATCCTCTCGAAGCATACGATAATACAGCCTATCAAAACAAACTTTTTTTTTATCTACTATTATTGCTAATGACAGGAATGAGATGAGATCCTACAATTCCAATATATTTTCAATTTCTGTTCGCACTTCGAAAACTTCGATAAGGAGGAAAATAACTGAAGTTATGTAAAATGTTGTTATTTCTTTTCCTTCTCATTTTTCATCTTACTTTCTGTTATTGGCACTACCGAAAGCGACACAATATAGCATTATACACGTTGATCAATTAAAATTTTTAAATATTTAGAAATATGCTAATAAAATAAGTATTAATTATATTGAAGAGCTGCCGATTCCACTGGGAAAATACTACTTTTAGTTTATGGCCGAGATCGGCTTCAGCCAATTCTTTGCAAAGACACAATAACGCTCCCGCTATTACAACCACACTTGTAATAAACTTCGTTCATATTTAAACGTTCAGAAATTTACATAAACTTAAAAACTCTTGCATAGATATTAAACCAAGTGCTATAAATAATTCCGTTTATAAATAAACGTTCATTCTAATAACTTGCTACCTTGGATTGCATTCGTTCGGAATATACACCTATGCAAATCTTGCAACCGCTTGGCAACATACTGTAATGAAGTTCTTCAGAAAGGACTTTCGGTGAAATTTCTGGAATTTCTCGTAGGTTTTCTAATGTCATACGTCTTGCATATAAATGGAAATCACTTTTAGCAGTTCATATTAATGTCTGTGAAAAATGGCGAGAAGTAAGGCAATACCGGAACCAATCAGGAAAACTATTATCCGAAGTATAAAGGAGGAGTATCTCAACTCAGAATATCGCGCAGAATATGCAGATATCTCAATCTACAGTCCACGGAATCATAAAATGTTTTTCAGAAAGGAGAAACATTCGTCCAAGTAAAGTACAGCTTTAGGAAGAAAACTATCTCTGATTCCAGAAAACTACGGTCCTTGTGGTGTTATATTTCCCGCAACAGGCAAGTTTCCATAAAAGATTTGACAAAGCGGGCAAGGGAATACTTTAATGTTCCATTATCTGAATTCTCAGTTTGGAGATATATCAGATGACGAAAGAACAGCTTTACAAATACAAGGGAAACCTTTCATAAATGAACCATGCAAGTATAGATGAGTCAAGATATTCAAGACAAGTCCAGAAAGTCACAGTCTCTAATGGTTTAGAAATGAATGAGCGCAGAGTGAGTTGGAGATTTACGTTTCTACGATGGTGCTGTGAACTCTGAAGCCTATAAATCAACGTAAATTTTTCCAATGACGAACCTGTATTTTTCAGCATGACAACACCTGTCCCACAATGCTAGAGAAACCAAAGCCTTGCTGCAGCTATAGCTATAATCATACAGCTATACACTATACAGTGTATAGAGTACAGCTATTAATATATGATTAGACTTCAGCCAGCAGCCAGTATCAAGCCCGGACTTGTCTCCAATAGAAAATGTATGGAGAATTTTCAAAAGATGACTTAACGCCGTCCTTGCATATTAGAATAATTACTTACGTATTTAAGTGAAAAATAAGAAAAAATTCCCACGCATTTGCTGCACAAATATTTATCTTCCTTGCCTCAACGCCTTGTAACTCTTATAAAGCGAAAAGGTTTCACTTTGATTACAGAATCTTATCACATTGAATGAAGTTCAAAGAAAAGTGTTACAAAGGCTTTGCAGATTATAAATTACATATTTTAATAGCAAAATATTTTCCTGAAATCAGAGTTTCTGATATTTTTTTATGATCATTTATCTTTATAATAAAATACTTTTAAAAATAAATATCCGTGCACTGTACTGTGAATTATTTCAAGTTTTATTGGTGAACGAAATTCATTGCAATCGGAGTTGTACTATTCTGTGCTTTGCTGTGGATGAGTGACTAGTGTGAGTCGCGATAAATTCACACAATTGTTCCATAAAAATACACAGTTTTCTACAATCCACATATTTTAATGACAAGTTTAATGTACAGGTACAAATAAACCACCGATTTAATGCAAACGTAACATGAATAATATAACTAAGAATTATATTTAAGGAATTTTTTCTGCAAATAATTTTACCCACAGGATAATATAACAAATAGCAGCAAATTTTGAACAGCTTTTGGTAGCGTTTTGCAATATCAAGTGTGGAGAGGTTTCTCTCTTCGTTCCTATATAACTTCCAATTTCGTTTAATAGATAAATAAAAGTTCGTTTCGATAGGTTGTATCGTCATACTCTTCGAGAGGGTTTTGAAAATCCTTCACATAATCATAAGCTACGTCAAACGCCGTTTCATATAGGGACGAGCTGTATACTTGACTCTATCGCCAGTAAAGTACCTTGTCTTTTGAATATATCTATTTTTATTTTTTTAAATACTGAGTTACAATAGAGTAAAGAAATTGTATATACTGTATTTATTTATATGTTCACATAAATAGAAAAATAAATAAGCATAAAACTTGCGTTTATCTGCACACTATTAATGAGTTACTCTACACTAGAAAAGTTTCTCTCGTTTGAGGCTAACAAAAACAGTTCTATAACCACTTCTCAGTTTATGAAATATTGTACGCGTGATTCCTAGTCGTGACTTACTGGCGAGTTACGTGATGATCTTAGGATGCGTTTCACGTTATAAAGTCGCGACTCTGACTGAGAAATTGAGAAACTGTGTACCGCTCTTAGTGCTCTGTACCGGTACACATATTTGTACCGATAAACATATTTGTCAAAGACAAAAACTGTTTTGTAGCATTTAAAGAACTAGTATATACTTATTTCAACAGAACTACCGTTAATTAGGTCAATTTGTCTCTCGAATGTGTTTATCATTGATATAATATTTTGTATTATAATATTCTATGCTCATTTGTTAATAACACCCGATGTATGTTACCATGTATTTATGTAATCAACTCCTATGCAAATTATTTTATGTAAGTATTTGGCTACTCTGCGGTCAATAATTTGCCAAGTACTGTACATTAACTGAACTCTAAAATATATAGCTGTAATCTAACATATTCTTGTTATGTAACCTGTTTTACATGTATTATGCTTGTAAACATTCTGCTCTTAACCTCGGTGGTGCTCTGCGGAGCCGAGGTCTTCTTCGGAAATAAAGATTTATACAAAGTGAAAAGTGATCGTAGAGCAGAAAGGATCAAAACAGTTTCCCCAAAACATTGTATGAAACTGAGTAAACTAAGCAATTAGTTTGTAGCATGTTGTAACTAAAGTAACTACGGTTTATGGTCCTTACGAATCGGTCACCGACATATAATAGTACTCAATGTGAATGCTTTTACTACTAGTCGGTCCGATTATAAGATCGGTCTGGTCGGACCAGTCGGTCATAGTGTGAAACAGCTCTTACGCGTTGCCTGTCAGTTGCGTTGCAGTCTCCTTTGAGTTTCCTCCCTATAAATGCAAACGTTCAATTCTACAGCTTTAACGAAATAGCTTCAGTTTAAGCTGCATTTCCGTATAAATGTGGCCTTAAATCATTAAAGTGATAAAGATAAAATATCAAATTGAAAATGTTTTATTGAAAGTAGAGAGAAAAACTTATAATTAAATATATATTAAATACAAAATTAAGAAGGAAATATTATTCTTAATTAACTATCTTAATTGAAAATAATAAAATATTCATATTTTAGGCTTTACTTAAATGTAGAATAAAAATGAAGGTAAGATCTATAGTAGTGGTTCGTAACAGATGTGCAGCTGCACACTGGTACGTTATAAACTTCTCACGGATGTGTTGCGATACATTTTCACATATTATTTTTAAAATGGTTATTTTAGTACACTTTTGAGTGATATTTATATATTCTTATTTAAATAATTACAGATTTTCAATGTCCGTTTCGTTTATACCTATGAGAGATTTTTTGATGAGATACTGTGTGGTGTGCCACCATTAGTTCAAAAAGATTACTAACCAGTAATTTAGAGTAAAAAGATTAGACCAATAGAGTAAGTATATACAATAAAAATACAAATGAAATATATTATATCCTAATTTTTAAAATATATTAATTAATATATATATTCATACCTTATAAGTTAAATAATATTTTTCCATGAATATTGGTGTAAAATCATCTCTTATTTTCCATAAAGTAACTATCACTCCAACAGAACCAGCAGCGATAAAAGCTCGATATAATCCCACTATTCCATCGCCTATTATAAAATACATATATAAATATTTAAAAAATTATAACAACACAATATTTATAATTATTTTGTGTGTAATGAGCGGTTGAATTTTTAAAAAGAAATCTTATAAATCATGCAAATATTATTTATAATAAAAGTTTCATTTTATCAAAATTTATAATTGTAAAAAGTTTGAGTTATTTATAAAACATTTCACGTAATTCACCATCCAATACTAAACATTCTATTCCACAAACATATAATTAAAAGTAAAGTACTTTCTGCAAAATATAAAGTGTTTTGATTGCTAAGAGGAAACAATAATTTCACCTAATTCTAACTTGATTCGTAATTCTCCTCTAAGACTGATATAACCAAAGTTGAGGTTCTTTGATTCTTTACATCTCTCGTGCTCTATGTTTAAATTTATTTTTCGTTGTACCAATACAGGCTATTCTAAAGCTTTTTTCCTTTATGTTTATTATTTTTTTTAATAGTATGACATATGCTCCTGAATTTACTTTCCGACCAATCCCTATCGTTACAGCATAATCTGTATCGTAATGACATCACTGATATCCGAAAAAGAAGATTCTTGCACAATTTTTGCTTTCCCAGTTGTTTTAATTTTATATAACAGAGAGAAAGAATAGCGATCGGCCAAAAATTATCCCCCTCGAAGATTTTTACATTTTTGGATCCGGGAGATCTTGAAAAGTCGAGAAATTAAAGAAAAGTTGGGAAGTTTTTATATACGTATGTATGGATGCTAGTGTGTGACCGGGGCATTATTAGGCCAATTTGAAGCCTAATAATTTTTGTGCCTTTTGTCGAAAGTTTCTGAAATATTGTAGGGAGATTGGTGTATTAGGAGCGTTGATGCGATTAAATTTTGGTAGTTAAAAGCTTGAGGAAGTGAGGAGATAGAGGAGGTCATATGTCATATCTCGAGTGAGGACTTAATGAAGATTTTCCCCGTTATTAGCATTTACAATTTTTATAAGACTTATCTCTATCCTCAAAATTAAGCTTTTTGCCATTTTATAATAATAATAATAATAATAATATAATTTTTTAAATATCATAACAGATAATGCCAAACACAATTTTTAATATTTTTGCAAAATGTTTTACACAAACAAAAATGTACACAAAAATGTTTACCTGTACACAAAAATGTTTTATGACAGAAAATTAAATGTATTAACTATAAATTCTCTTGTTTTATTAGAATTTCATATTAATAATTGAATAGTTATATAATATTTTAAATTTTCTTTCGTTATCTCAACTTTCAGTAATTTAATTTCTCTATTTACATTAAAATAGATTAAACAATAGATTAAAGTAATACAATTTTTTATTAAATATTCTATTTTGATAATTATAGTCTACATTATAAAATTTTATTATTTAGGTCTTTTAGTTTTTATTTAATTGTCATTAACATTCATTTAATATTTTCTGAAGAAAAATGGTATATATTACAGTGATTACTTTAACATAATATTCTTAAATGTTATTATTATTCACTAATAATTATGACCTTTGTGACGGTAAAATATTATTCATCAGAAAGATTAGTAAATAGTTATCAATAAGTTTTCAAATCATCATAGAAATGTTTGAAATGCTTTAAGTGTTTTAATTAACGTAATAAAATCAAAAACTTTAATTTCTTCAGATATTTATTACACATCGTTTTAAGGGCGATCAACTCTTATTGATCGTCCTTAAAACGATTTTAACTTTTATTTTCTTTTCTCTCTTGAGTAAAGAATATAATAATTTACAACTTACAAAATGTATTTTGCTGCAATTTTATCTCAGTTCCAAGAAAAAAACATTGAAAGTTTCTTGACAGATCGCAAGAGAATAGTAGAAAACAGTTTGATAAACGAACAGAGCGGAAAGAAGCAAGCGAATATGTAAACAAAATATAAAAAAAAACATAAGAAAAAAAAGGCGACAATATATAATTGCACAGAATAACATGTCCAGTTACTATAGAACTTGGTTACAAAATGCCGAAATACTATGATTTCATTAAACCATTCTTGTTATAATTTTTTTTTTTTTTAATTTACAGTTAAAGTTCTTTTGGGGCATAAAATTTAGAGTTAAAATTTTGTACTTTCTTGTGCAGTACATTCATTTATGTGGTCATATATTGTTAATAAATCATTGGTGTAGTCATATTTACAAGGTTTCAAGAAAATTAAAAACATGAACCATAGAATTGACAATCGAAATGTCGAATATATCACAATTCAATTATATTTTATTAATATAATTCGCAAAGTATTCACTCTAAAAATGTCTCTAATTTATCTCCATAAACTGAATGTCTTCGTATTTTTCATAATTTTTCTCTTGTTTGTATTGAACAATGATTGTTTGAAATAAATTAAATTGATGAAGCTAATTACTTCCACATAATAACAATAACATATTAAACTTACCTGTGACTTTACCAAGTCCGGTCTCGCAGCAACTTAATGTCACCAATTGACATTCGCATTTCGGAAGTTTTTGAATATCACTAGCTAACAATAAGCCGTTACACTCTGGTCCTGATGGAGTTAGGGCAATGAATCCTCTCATTAGATAATCACCAGATTTCACTGACAATTCTTCCTGGAAAATATTAAATGTTAAAATTATTTTTGATTTTACACGAGAGATATGGGTAAATCAATATAAGTAACCCGTAGTTTGTTTTAAAATATTTTTTAATTTTTCATTTTACTTTTACCTTTTATAAGATCAGTTTGTTAATAAATCCAAATAATTTTTAAATCCTAAATTACAAGAATATAATAAATATATAAAAGAGGGTTCTTTTTTTAAATTTAATTTATAGTTTATAAGTTCAAATTACTTAAAAAGCTAAACTTTTAAAAATGTTTCGCTTACTAATATTTTCCACACAAAATGAAATTTGAGCAGAATATGCATCTTTTGAATTTTCAGCGAATAAAAACTTATTTCCAGGGAAGCTCCGAAGAAATTCAAATTGTTCTATTGATATAATCACTGATTCTTTAATTCTTGTTAGGAAACCATTAACAAAGATTAATTACATTCAACGTTATATTATTGGTACTTTTATAAACAGAATGTACAATGAGTATCGTACTGCACGTCCTATTTATAGATCGTTGACATTTCACATATAGAAGATTTAAAATTCCTGTTTATAGTTCCAAGACTCCAGAATTCCTTATAAAAGAGTACACGCAATAGTAATAGAACTTGAAGAGTTCTATTTTCTTCAATGGCAAATGCAGATATTCTACCAGTCGACCCCCCTATAACACTGTTGATTTTTCCGATTTTATATGAATTCCATGTTGTACGAGTCACTTAGATTTTACAAATACGTGTGCAGGGCTGTGAACGGCTCACGTATTTGTGAAATCAAAGTGACTCGTACAACATGGAATTCATATAAAACGGAAAAATCAACAGTGTTATAGGGGGTCGACTGTACTTACATTTATATTTATTCTTACACAATTTGTTATAAATGTAAATTTATAATCCATAAACAAGAACATTTCCTTCTTTTGACATAAACTCGTCCGAATTGACGCACAACTATATCAAGATTATTCAAATTAACTACAGGAGATGGATGTCAAATTTTTTTTATTACGTTCAACAATGATATCCAATGCTTGAAATCATAGGCAGTATAATTTAACAAGCTATTTATTCTCTAAAAAGTAAATAACAAAATTCTTCTTATGAAAAAAGACGATGTCTATTAAGGAATGGTTGCTCTTAAAATACAAAGTATACAAAAAAAATATATATATAAGTATAAAGTATAAATTTTCCATCAAAAGAATTTTATCATTTAATTTTTAGAGAATAGATCTCTTGTTAAACTATAATTCCTGTTATTTCAAGCATTAGATATTACTGTTGAACTTGTTGAGATACCATTGTTGTTGAATAAAAAAGATTTGACTTCCATCTCCTACAGTTAATTTCAGTAATCTTGACATAGTTGTGCGACTTAATCACAATTCGGACCGGTTTATGTCAACAAACGTAAACATTATTCTTGTTTATGAATTATAAATAACATATATAATTTATTATAATCTAAATATATAAAATCCTAATATATAATCTATATATATGTTACCGCTAAAGCTCGAAATCCGTTAATGTGTACATTACCTAGCTAATCTGCAGATTAACTAGGGTGATCCGTTAAAGCTGCTAAAATTATTCCATTTCTCAAATTACCTAGGTAATCTGCGAATTACCTACTAGGCACTCGGTAAAGTTAAAATAAGATCTTTGCTGGAACAACAGCAACGTTTCTGTACGCTTAAATTAACATAATGTTCTTTATTTAATTTTCAATATCTAAAGAATCAAGTTAATACAATCAACAAATTAGTTGATTGAATCAATCATCAATCAATTAAAAAAACTTTAATACAAAAATCAAACGGTTTAAAATATTACTACAATTAGGGAAA